CTAATGAAGCCTGGCTAGTGGATTTGTGTTCACTATCATGCCAGCCCTCCACTGCAATAAACCTAGCAGTTCTCCCAGCCCTCATATCCTCTATGCATTGTACATTAAAATCTCACAGTGCTGTGTCCACTACCAACATTTTATCCAGTTTTCCCTTGTCTTTTTGAATTCCCTAGCCTTCAGCCACATCCTCTGTTCCTTGTCTACTGGGTGGGGAGGAAGCAGAACAAGCTGTAGATGTTTTAGGGTACATTTATGTTTATTGGCTAATATGAGTGGTCAAATGAAAGGCCAAAGAGAACATGTAACAGTCAAACTCACTCTGCAACTTTCCCCTGAGTGCAAAAACTAACTTGAGCTTCTTTCTTTGATTCATTTGTGATTTTCACTAAATTTGTAGAAACTTAGTTTGAGATCTTCACACTTTAGTAAAATTTGGCTGAAATCAGCTAATGGCATTAGAAATTACTGGCAGACAGGGGGACCCAACAGACAGACAAAAATATGATTGTCAGAACATCATGTCCTTAGGAAATAAAGCTAAAAGTAAATGTGCTTTTATTTTTTAAAAAGCCCAACTTTACATTTAATGTATTTTTAATACATAAGTGATGAGTTTAATAAACATTTCTGTTTTTCCAGAAGAATATAATGTATTATTCTCAAAGTTTCAGCTCTTACTTTATTGCGTATGCTCCCTGCATATTCAATAAATAGCTTAGGATAAAAATAAATAAAAATCTGAGTTTTTTAATTTCACAGCTACAAATAGTCTTTCCTTTGCTCCAAATGGTCTTAACAATGCAACAGTTCTGACACTTCTAACCTTTCAAATAGTTCAGACAAACTAAGGTCTTACGTATAGGTCAAAATTTGGAGAAAGAAGGTTACAGTTACTGTGAACTATTAAAAACCACTAACATGCTATTTTTTCTACACCGTAATTAGACTCAGGCTGAGCTCATGTGGCATGAGCTAATTGGAGACTTACAGTCTGACAGGTAATACAGTCAATCAACACCCTTTATCTACAGCTATTTTGCATGCAACATTTGTGATAGTTGTCATGATTCAGAAATGCGAAGGACAGTGATCAGATGCATCTTGATTCCTCATTGCTGGATGGCTTGAAGCAGTGCTGGTGGGAGAACTGAGGCAGAAGCCCAGGAAACATCATTCAGCCACAGTGATCCTGTATCTCGAGGACTCCAAGTCCATTTTCACATTGAACAGTCACACATGAACAGATTTCTAACACAGTCAACCAATTACAAACGACAGGCTAGACTTATCAGTGCATTTTAATACTAAAATAATAAAAAATAATTTAAGGTTCCTACATCCCATTCCTTAGTAATATCATGTGAATAATTTTTTAGTAGTTTTTCATAATCTAAGAGGACACAATCTTTCCATATTGCCAATGTCTTGGGTCTGGGCAATGAATGCTATGCTTTGGTTCCTGCAGCATACTTTTTACAAAGGTGTAAGTAGGTGCACATTGGCAATGGCTTAAAACCTGCTTGAATCTTGTTTTGGCCTTGGCCTGCATGCAATAGCTACCTGGGAGCAGGTCTGAACTGGCTGTAGGAGGAAGCTGCAGAGGATGAAGGCTCCTTGAACCCTCTGTGATGCAGCTTTGCAAGGCAGAACCACAGGCCAGGCCCGGTCAGTGCGAAAGTTCTCCAGCTAGCCTCTCATCCTCCTCTGTGACTTGGCAAGGCAGAAGACCCAACCGCTGCAAACCGAGGGAACAGGAAAACGAAGGACAGATAACGCAGTGGCAGGAGTTATGCTCTAACCCATTTGGTTCCTTGTTCCTGGCAAACCTTTGTGATAAGAACAACCTTTGTGCTGTCCGTGAAGGAAAAGGGGGCTGGATACCGCTGGGGGAGGGTATTTGGGAGAGATCAGCAGACTGAATGAACGTACTGTGTACGTACATTAAGGGATATTTGGTTGCCAAAAGAAGATGTGAAGTAGGCCATTTAGCAAGCCTAGCACAATTTACAGAGATATAAGTCAGGGTGCAATGGGAGAAGTGAATGCCCATCAGGCAGCTGACCTTTCCTTTAGAGCAGTCTGTGACAGGAAGGGAAATCAGCACAGGCACTGTTAAAAAAAATGCTTGTTTATTTACATTGCCATTGATAGCTCACCATGCTACTTATCCCATGTTGGCTTAGCTGAGCCCTGACAGCTGCTCCTTTCAAAAGCGGTTTCTCACTTATCCATAGCGGAACAATGCAACTTTAGGTATTTGCTCAGTGCAGACTTTGAAGCACTGACTGCCTGTGCTGTGCTAAAGTGTAAACACCAGTTTCCGAGTTGCTCAGTATATGTAGTTTCTAAATAATCTTGAAGGATATTCACTTGCATGAGAGTTCATTATTAAGTGAATAGTCTTAAGCAGTGAATATGATCTTTCATTGCATACAATGAGAAAAAAATTTAAAATATTTCTAATTTTCTCCCTTACCAACAACCTAGGTGAAAATAATTGTTAAAGGTGAACCACAGCAAGGATGAAGTGTGTTACATTACTAGGATATATGGACTACAGGTTTAATTAACATTTAGCTATATTAGAAAGACTCTTCCTTTAAGTATAGTTTCAAATTATTCTAAAATAAGACTATGCTTTAAGGAGCACACATATCTTGTCAGTGGTTTAAAATTAGATCGAATATTCTGCATGACTGAAACCTGCTCAAAGGATGTGCACGCACACGTGTGTGGGAGAGAGAGAGGAAAAAATCGATTCTCTACTACTCTTTTCATCTGTACTCTTCAATACTGAAAGGGAGTTTTAGATTAAGCCACAATGAAATTAACTGTATTTAAGTGATTTTGTTGTGGATGATCTCCTTAAAAATTTGCACTTTGCAATCTGCCTCCTGTCATCAATTCTTAATCCAATAATAAGATATCAACCAGGTAAATACTTCCATCAGAGAAAATGTACAAAGTTAAGCATGTGCTTTAACGCTTTGCTCAGCTGATCACGACAGCCCCATAACTGATGGCTTACACGGACAATTTTAATTTTAATTACACCCTCAATACATTTGGGTCTTTCCAAAGGCTAATTTTTCAGCAAAACACGATAGCTAGGTGATCTGTCAGGTCTGCTTGGACTAGGAGCAAGTGCTCTGCTGGTCACAGCACGGAAAACCCCTGGATTAAATGCTTAATTTTGAAGACAGAAGTAGGAATTGGAACTGCGGAGCTAAAAAAAAAAAAAAAAAAGACAAAACACCACGGAAAGCAAGGAGGATCAGCGTTACAGAAATACAATTAGCTGGTCATTCACTGTAGATGAAGGGACACCGCA